ATATTATAGAGCCATGTGAAAAAATACTTTAGATCATATAGAGCCATCATTATTAATTTAAGCAGAGTATTTTGAAAGCTACAATTTGTTTTACTGTTACATATTGAGAATAATGATAAAATAGCTATTTACAGACCTAAAGGAGAAAATTGTTTACAAGCACAATTCTGGAGAAGGCTATAAATCAATTTCAAAAGTTCTCAATTTGCCATTAAGTACTGTAAAATCAGCTGTGAAGAAATGGAAAATGTCACACTACCTAAACCTTACCAACATCAGGTCAGCCTAAGAAAACCTGTGCTTGAACAAGCAGTAAAATCGTCAGAGAAGCAACTGTCAAGCCAACAGTGACACTGAAGGAGCTGTAGACTTCCAAAGAAGCAACTGGAGTTACTGTACACAACTCAACAATATCACATACCTTACACAAAAAGTCTTGTATGGTAGGGTGGCAAGAAAGAAACCACTACTGACGAAGATGCATCTTTGATCGCAAATGTACTATGCCCGTAAACATTTCAATAACACTATAACAATGTGGCAGAAAGTTATATTGCCAGATGAGACCAAAATAGAACTTTTTGAGTTAAATGACAAACGTTATGTATGGCGGAAACCCAACACTGCTCATGACCCGGCAAATACAGTCCCAAGAATGGTTTCGGAGAAACAAAATTAAAGTCCTTGAGTGGCCAAGCGGAAGCCCAGACCTAAATCCACTCGAAAATATATGGAAAGACTTGACAATTGCTTTGCATCGAAGACACCATTCCAACTTACAAGAACTGGAAGATATGTGCAAGCAGGAGTGGGTAAAAATATCTCCAGCATACAGTGCAAAACTTGTAGAGGGGTTATCTAAAACGACTTTTAGCTGTCGTTGCTGTCAAAGGAGCTTCGACCAAATATTAACTGCATAATGATGTTTGGTGTTGAAGACTTTTGCAATATGTGTTTCAAGATTTTTGTTTTATATCATTAAAGTGAGTAACAATGCACCTTTCGTTCTTTGTAATAATTAGAAACTTGTCTGAGATTTTTGGTTGAGTTATGTTTTTCACAAGAAAATAACTAAAATTAATTACCAGCACGGGGGTGGGTGGGTGAAGACTTTTGGATGGCACTGTATTATATTAACTATCTAAATGAAGTTTCTCACAAACTAACATTACTTTTACTTCTCTTCATTCTCTTTGTTTCAACAACGAGAAATTAGAATACAATATTTGTTACTATAAAGGATCGTGCGATTTCTGTTTGCAATTGCTGTATCAAACTAATGGGAACTTTACTTATCGACAGTGCTGTCAAAATAATAACACTTTTACTTTGATTAAAATGTAATTTCAAAAATAAAATGAATGGACGCCAACGTTTTGGCCAGCGAGATCCCGGCAGATCTTGGATTATGAGGCTTCCTCAAATAAAATATATATCGGAATATTCCAAGAAACTTAGAGTATCTTAAATCGGATACAAGAAATGAAATTGCGAGGACTGATTAACACTGTTCAGAAGAAAATATGCTTATAGTAACTTTGTTTGGGGATAAACCTGTTACTCTGCTTAAGAAAGACGGAAATAATGTATTCTGGGTCAGCTTTTGAAACACCCAGTGCCATAATTTATGTCTCCCATTGTGCCTTTGTTGAAGTTATGTTCTTCTTGGACATGTCGTTTTAAGATATAATCGTTTTAAAGATAGTGTTTTGTTCATAATTACCTAGTACTAATGAATGACTACAGAGTAAATCCTTTGGAGAAACTGACTGAGGTTTCATTTCTATATAAATATATTAAGTCAACATCACTAAAATGTTTCATTATAGTTATAACATCTGGAGAATTATATGCAGTACTGATAATAATCATAGATACACACAATATTTGGCAACAATGTGTAATTACAACTAAACGGCCAGTCTGCCATTAGTTCAATACATTACTACAGAAAGTACAAAATAAATGCAAATAAGCTATACAAGGGACCAGCATTTTGTAATGGTTTTAAATATAGCAGTACCTCTTGCCTTTATACTACCAAAAGTTTATTAACTATGATTATGAGATATTATTCCAAATATCATATACTACTCCCAATAATGCAGCAAAGTTATGTGGTTGCCTTTGACCTTGTCAGTTTCGATGTAAACCCAAACAGCCTTAATAAAATTCGTATTGGGATCTTGTGCAAGCCATGAAGCTCTAGTTGCGAGTGTTTCTTTGGCATCTTTTAGCTTCTAGATATCGTTTCACTAAATTTGTTGCATGCTTTGGATCACTGTCTTGATGGAAATAAATCCAGGCTCAAAATTCATTATATATGAGTGAATAATATGATGGATAAAAATCTGCTTTGTTTGGGGTTTTTTCGGGGCAAAGCATCAAAACTATCTGCGCCCTCTGTATGGAAAAGCGACACAGGTCCCTTGTACAAAAGGTGCTTTCACGACACATCAGTTCTACTGTCTCATATCTCAAGCAGCTGGAGAATGTGACAAGTATTAATACTATTCCGTAGGAAGATATACTAATCAAGTCACCAGATACAGCACCTATGGATTTTTGTGAAATGAGTTATGGAAAGTATATAGTGAGAAATTGTGTGCTTTGAACATTAAGCCTTACGACGGAGCCTTATCATCAGGTAGAGCATATCTGAAGTTGTGACATGGACTATAAAGACATGATGATACTTCAAATAGTTTTAAGGTAACATACTCATACTCAACCTCTGTAGTTGAGCCTTATCATCAGGTAGAGCATATCTGAAGTTGTGACATGGACTATAAAGACATGATGAGACTTCAAATCGTTTTAATATAACATACTCAACCTCTGTAGTTGAGCCTTATCATCAGGTAGAGCATATCTGAAGTTGTGACATGGACAATAAAGACATGGTGTAGACTTCAATCGTTTAATAACCTACCTCAACGTCTGTATTGAGCCCTTATCATCAGGTAGAAC